AAAATCAGCTTCTAAGAAGCAAGAGTGTTTTTCTATTTTTTTCTCTTTTAAATTTCAATTTTTTTTTTAATGAAATGAGCTTTCCTTGTAAAGAATTTAAAAATCCAAAGAAAAGTTTCGAAACCATAGGTGGCTTTTTTTTTTGGTATTATACTAAACACCTCAAGTTCCAAAAGTTATATAGTTCGTATTTGGAGACTGAGTGGAATAAATTGAATGACACCATTCAAACATTTTAAATATTACCTATATGAAGATGAATAGATGACAGGTTTGCTTTAGCACATTAGGCTGTGTTGGAAACGATGCAAATAAGTGTGAATGCAAATATGTAGAGTGTAAAATAGTTCATATAAATTGTAAAATTGGATTAGTTTTGTATTGACAAATTTGTCTTCTTATCAAACAGACTTTTAACTGTAATGGATGCAAACATGAATTCCAATAAAGTATGCATGTGCTTTTGTTTTTATCAAAAGCCCACTTGATGCAAATTTACCTCTTTTTTGTTGATGTACTTTTACATCTTATTATCAATGTAAATATGCATTGGTCTGTCATTTGTCAATGCATAAATTTAATGCTGCCAAACACAGGTACAAATAAACTAGAGTACAAATTTATCCTGAACTGAGATTTACGCTCCATTTGCATCATTTTCAAATGCAGCCTTAATGAATGAATTGAGTATCATTTAGGGGTGTTCTCCAATGCGATTGGTTTTCCTGTTGTTTGCCAAGTTAAATCAAAGCTATATGGTATGAAAACAAATTGGTTCTTAAAACCAAAGCACAGAAAACATGCTTTCCGATTTTGAAAACAAAAACATGTTCTTCAATTTCTGGTTTGAAAAATGACCAGTAATCTCTTATTATATAATATATGTACTCCTACATTTGATTTTTATCAACTTGGGTTTGAAGGAACGAGTGGCCATTTGGCCAATTAATATCTTTCACTATTGCATTGGTTCTCTATGTGCATACATACACCCCACAATGTTTTTCCTATTATTTTCTTATTCAAAATAAAATTGTTTTTGTTTTATATGTATATGTCTTGACTCAGTCATGTAGAGAAACAGGTTTAATTGGAGAGTCTTGCCAAGTCGGCAAGACGCCTCTGTATCGAGCCGTATTGCACTGTATCGGTGGGTACAGTCTGATACACACCAATATGAAGGTGTATCCGTGTCTAGTTTGACAAAATTGTACATCGAGTACTTTTGGATTGTTTTTCATCTTTAATACAAGTTAAAAAATAGTACTATGAAAACTAAAATAAATAATTTAAGATTTAATTTTCCCAAAAAAATTTAATAAAAACTAAAAATTATAAAATAATATATTCCATCTACCTTAGATGATTTATATATTTTATTTTACACATAATTATATGTTAAAAATGAAAACATAGTTATTATTTGAAAAATTAGAGTTATTATATAAAAATACTAAATAAATAAATTTTCCCAACATAATTAATGGAAAACAGAAAATTATAATTATAAAAACTGAAACGAATAATTTAAGATTTAAGTTTCCCAAAAATTTAATAAAAACTTAAAATTAAATATAATTTATTTTATCTACCTTAAATGATTTATTTGTTTTTTTTACAATTATGTGTAAAATAAAAACATTATATGCTAAAAATGAAAACATATTTATTATTTAAATAAATAGTTGTTATTGAAATAAAATACTAAATTAATAAATATTCTCAAAATTAATAAAAATTGAAAATTATAATTATAAAATTGAAAGAGTGATAATTATTTTACAATGTTTGAATGTTTTAGAGTTCCGGTAATATTTCTCTTCATATAACCTATTGAAGTATGCATTTCTCATGTGTTTATATCTTATTCATAGATAATTCAGCTTTTGGTTTAGTATGACTAATGTATTTATGTGATTTATATGCATTTCACTAGCATATTCAAGCATTTGTATCCATGTGTTTCTAAATCGTATCTGTATCTGTATCCGTATCCGTGTTTGTGTTCATATCTGTATCTGTATCCACATCTGAGTTATCCGATACAATACTCGATACAGATACTTTAATCCTTGCAAGCCAATATAAATCTGCTTTAAGAGGGATTGGGGACTAAACCAAGAGACATCGGGGTTAGTCATGAGGCCCAACATTCTTGCAAAGGAAAATATAAATAAGGCTCCAGGCCCATTACTCTTGTACAAGATATTAGAGTCCTTATAATCTAATTCTGGTTGTATCTTGAGGGGCAAATCGTTACATCTAGTAATTTGGCATTTACTAACATCTCCTTGCAGATCAAGAGTTCCTGGACTCAAACAAATACGCAGTTCAAGAATATATTTCACTTTTTTCCTTTTCTTTTTTATTTTCTGAATATGATGGTTTCAAAAACAAATGAAAACAAGTACATTCATAGCATACACCATCTTAGAGGTTGGGGTGAGAGTTGGGAACTTGAAGCGTTTACACAGCATCAAGCTCAGACCCTCGAGTAGGCCCATATAAAATTTAACAAATAATCAACCTGAGCCCGCCCAAGTTGCAGCCTACTTAGAGGGTGTTCCTCTGTATGCTTGATTTTGTTTTTCAAAATAATTGTGTCTTTGGTTATCAAAAAAAATAATTTAATCTACATCAACTAAGCTGTATTCAAGAATAAATAACTAGTCTTAGAACTAATTAATTAAATCAATTAATGATTAATTACTAAATTTCTTAAACTAAAAAAAAAACTTCGGTTTCAATTTGTTGCTGTAAACAAATTAAATCCTCAAAAAGTTATAATGGTAGGTAAACGTAAAGCATAAGTGGAAAATATATCTTAAAGTTTTCAGAATTCTTTCAAGAGTAAGAAAACCCTTAATAGAGATTAACAAGGTTCCATCTCATACTTAATCACCTTCCACTATTAAGGTCTGACTTGTGAGAAATGTAACATTGCAGAGTTCAAAACCAGTATTTCATGTATTCTGTTCAACATATCTTTTCTTATTGGCAAGGATTATAAACCATGCTTCTACCACATGAATCAATATGGGCTAACCCTGTGGGCAGCCTAATTTTTTCCTTTGCTTGCCTTTTCTCTGGGGTTTTTAGATTGAAAGTCTGGAATCTGAATTTTTTTTTTTTTTTTTTGTAGTCAACAGTAAAGTATATTTCATTATAAACTTGTATCAATACACAGAATTGGTAACAGTACCAAGCTAGAAAGTTCATAAACAATTTCTTATAAAGAACAAAATATAAAAAAGAATTTCTGCAATTGACAAATGGTGAGTTAAGAATCGCAGCTCCATCCACCAAAACTGAGAGCACTTAATGAAAAGGACAAAGTGTCAGAAATAGCACGAAGAAAAAGCCACAAAAGACGACAAAGCCCCAAATAATTGCAACCGTTACCAACAATGGAACCTGTTGGTGAACTGCAACTGCCACCAAGAAACTATAACCGCCACCAAAAACTGTAATCGGTGGTGAAATTAGTCGGAAAACAGCCATGGATGGCAAACCAAAACAGTGATCGTGGCCACTGCCCAACAAGAATGAAGAGTCCACCCCTCGTACCAAAATCCCTGCACAACAGAAGCAAAGAAAAGAACAAAAAGAAAAACATGTGAGAGGGAAAAATGACGGGGGATGAAAGAAGGGTGAAGAACTGAAACAATGGAACGGAAAAATCAGGAGGGAGAGAGGAGTGAAAAGAGGGGAGAAGAAAAACAAGAGAAGGACTAGAGAGAGAAAGGAAGAGGAAAAGAAAAGGGAGATAGGGGATTCCCCAAGGGGAGCCACCCCAGTGGACTGGTGGCAAAAGAGGGAATGATTAAAGGCGGACGAAGAGAAGAACTTCAAGGAAGCTTCAAGAGAAAGGCTCTCTCTAAACAGAGAGAGAAGAAACCTCTGGAAACCAGAGAGGAAACACGGGAAGTACTCTTCCCATTTGAAAAGGAGGGGTTTGAATCCAACTATTGATTATTTCCTTAGGTTTACCAAGATTATTATGTACTTCCTTATCAAGTATCAACCTTAGGATTTGAGACAACAATACCTTCTTATTGTTAGACATAACATAAATCCCCAAGACCCCAACACTTGCTCATCAATCAAGTGTTCAGTTAGCACTAAGGTTCAAAATATCGATGCAGGTTTAAGGCCAGTCTACCCCTTGAACCACTCGCCAACCCGAAACACCCCTTTTAGGACATATCGGGAAGGCTCTGATATGATACGTATTGACTGATACGGGTCAATAGTGGCATAATTTTGATCCTTGTTTAGCAATTAGTCATTATCTAGATAACTACAAGTTTTGTAAAGCAATTGTATAAGTAGTTATGTTTCAGGTATGGAACTGTAAACAAAATCATAAATACAGAATCATCTCACTGAGTTCGTTATTCTCTCATTTGTTTTTTGTTCTCTGAATCAATTACTTATAAAGAATCTGCTCTATGAATGTGATCGCTGCTTTTGGCACATCTATTAATACTGATTATCAATACTATTCTAAGATCTTGCTGGTTTGAAGGACAATCTTGCACCTCGCTACTTTTCAAATTCCCACTAACATTACCAGAGGGTTTTCTCTACCCAGGATTCCTCAATGTCCAAAGACCCTCTTTGATACTTGCCTGAATTAGGCTGTGTTTGGTTGCGATGCAAATTTATTTGTCCTGATGCAAAATCATGGTAGTGCAAATGATTTTGATGCAAATTATGATTTATTTTTATTTCAAAATTTATCTTACTTTATTTTATCACAATAAAAATGAAGTAAAATAAGACCTGAAACAGAATAAAGTAAAGCCCAAAATAAAATTAAACCAAAAATTGCATTCTTTTCATTTGCACTCCCATGCATTTGTACTAGTGCAAATAAAATTGCACTGCAACCAAACACAGCCTTAGGGATAACAAAAACAATTGACTAAGGGTTCTCTGTTTTCTCATCACGATTCAATCCCTTGCATCCATGATCCCTACTTTGATAAGAACAAAACTTAAGTAATTGACTCATTGAGATTTAAGAACAAACATTAACTTGTTCCTTCTATTGAACAAGACCTAGTAGTATATGTAGTATTTCTGAATTCTGAGGCAATAGGGAAGAAACTAAAGTTTCTTTCCTTACATTACTAAGGAGAATAAATACATTACATATTCCTTTCAGCACTAAATAAAAAGCACTTCTGATGCAACATTAACAATATCTCTGATGTTGCAGAGCTCCAAATGTTTATTCTATGTAAGCTTTCTGAGACAGATACTTGGCAAGTATTACCAATTTAACGAGTTCTTAGATTGTTGAAGCTTTCTGTTGTATGAGCTTTCCATATCCTCCTGCAAACTCAAATACGATTCTCATCAGAATAAATTGCTTTCATCTCTAATTATGAAACATCCACAAGCCATTACATCAAAAGTAAACAGAGAATAAAAGAAGACAAGACCTTGCAAGATTTCAGCAGGGGTTGCAAGAAAGATGATCTGAAAAATCTGACCGACTTGCCAAGTGAGGTCCTATCAAGTTCTGCAATCAAGTGGAAGATCAAAATGTCATGATTGCACATAGAAATATCATGCACCGTCACTCACAAGGTTCCCTTGTGAATTTTGCAGTATAATTCTGAATACGAAAGAATTGAACCCACCTAAATGATTTATTGGGAAAAATCCAACCTAACAAGATGATGCTATTCACCAAAACAATTGTTCATAGATTATTAGTCTCCCCCCTCCCCATCATCCAATTAGGGACTTAGGGTCATCCTGATCCTGATGAGGTTTATGTTATTTTAAATAGGAGATCCTGATTGAATGATAATTTTGTACCCTTTGCATATAACCCACACTTTGGAAGACAGTCCTTAAGATATAAAATTTACATTGCATTAGTCTAAGCATGAATCCTTCCAGTCGGATATACAGATAATGTGTGATAAGAGGATGTCAGAAAAAAAAAGTAAAATCTGAAATAAGCTTCTTTCAGGTCATGCCATTTGACCCTTTTATCTCTTCCTATTTGATTGTAGGGGCACTAATAGGGCACTCCTTTTAAATTGTATAAACTATAAATGTTTCCCTTTAAATTTGGAGAGTCTAAATTGCTTCTAAAATGCTCATAGAAACATTTACAAATCAAATGGTTAAAACTAATCTGATAATGCTGAGCTTTGGTAACAGAAGCCATAACTAATCAAAACCAAAAAAAGCAAAAATGAGAAAACAGCAAACTATACAAGTTTAATTTGGATGTACCATTGTCAATTTCGGCTCCCTGACCTCCACTGTTTAGTTCATCCAAAAGCTGCAGAATTGACAAGATCAAAGGTTACAATATGCATTTAACACAAATTTGAAGCACACATTTAGCAGAGATTATATATATTCATGCACAGAGACAAACACGGGAATGTGCTTGTTAACCGAGTCATTTTCCTAAATATCCAGGATCCTTCCGTGTGACAAATTAATCTAGAGACCCAAAGGACTTCTTTTCCTCTCCCACCCTATACATGAAACAAAAACCAGACTGAAAGACCTTGCAATGTGTTCAAAAAAAGCCTTTTCTTGAGGAAATAATTTGTATTAAAAAACTAAAACTTTGAATAATCTTATTAGTTCGCAAAACTACTAATTCACGATCGAGTGTAGGACAGATTTGAACAGTAGACATATGACCAATCCTGAGGATCCCCTATAAGGTGCATGATTTGGATCAACAACAATGTTCACCCATATGACCAAATAGGGCTTTTTTTTGGTATTCGGTGCTATGCACCATTAACAACTTCCCCCTGACTCCTTTTTTCCCAAGTGCTGGTTGTGGGATTTGATTCCGCACCAATGCTGGAACAAACCAGCTAAGACACCAACAAGCCAGCCCAGAATAGGGCATGTCTGATAGAGAAGATTCTTCCTTGATCTGATCAGTAAACTTTAAACTGTACAATGTACATATAGGATTTGGAATTACTTGTCTCATACTAAAAATTATCGGGGCAAAGCAAATGCCCATGGATTTCCACTAATTTGTGTGATCTGCTAGAATTGTAGAGTGAAAAAGACCAGATTGATTAAATGATCCTAACCACCAAGCTCATGACAGTCATATGGAATCAGATTTTGGAAAGAGATTTTCCTAGGGTCCATCCATCTACCGTGAAAATTGAACAGACAGAAAGTGACATTCTAGACATTAAAGAACAAGTTTTCATTCAATTTTGTGGATCTTCATACTGATAAGCAGACAACCTTGGAAATGAGAATTTTAATCATGCTTACCGAAGAAAGGGTTGGTACACCTGTAGGATCAAATTCTTCACAGTGTTCAGGATCAATAGGAACACAAACACGACCTGCAAAAAAATATTGAAGTTATTTGAAAAAGCATTCAAGGACTCTTGGGCTAAACATGTAATTTTAAAAGTTGAAACATTTCGCAAATCCACTTTGATGAAAATTCAAGGCTATGTTTAGATTACAGATGAATTGCAAATTAAGTGCAATGGAGGATTGCAAATAGAGGGATCAAGTTCCACAAGACTTTACCATTGCATAAAACAATTAACCATTTAAAGGCATTGTATGGCCAACTGAGTCAAAATACAAAATCTTGTTTGAGGCTTCTTTCTGATCCTTTGCATGATCAGGACATCAGGTGGCTCACCCAATTTGAAAGAGATGATATCATTGCTTTTTTTCTTTTACAAGGAATGAACAAACAGTATCATGTAGATCAAGCTGATGGATTGACCTAGTCGAGACATGAACCAACCTGTTTTCGGGTGGACGCAGAATGGAGCCTTAAGCAAATGATTCATGTGCTTTGAAACCTGAAATGGAGAAAGATATGCTTCATTAAACAGGTACATTTTGTTCCATTTTCAGTGGATGATGCAGATTCATCCACTAGGAGAGTGGTGTGTGAAAGATAATAGGAGCCATCTTGTCATGACCATATAAAACTCAACTTTGATGGTAGCAATCTTGGAAATCTAGGTCCTTCTGGAGTAGGCAGTGTTCAGGGAAGGAAAATGGTTCAATTTTAGCTCTATTCTCAGGTCCTATTGAAGAGGGGACTCACTAAAAGAAGAATTGTTTTCTTTATTCATAAAAAAGAGCAGAAGTGCTTTCTTTTTACAAGGTTTGAGATTTGCAAGACTGAAGAGCTTCAGCAACATTGTGGTTGAAGGGGATTAAAGTGGAGGTAAGCTGGCTGGGGAACAACCAACCAATCTGGAAGTTTAGGCAAATTATAAAGGAGATCAAATTGCTAGCAAGGGAGGTACTGGCCACTCCTCAGTGGGTGCAACAGATAAGCAAATGGCATGGCTTCTGGGCTCATATGTAACATGTTACATAAATGGGATAGGCAGATAATCTGGCCTATAATTTGAGGTCATTGCCCTATTCTCTTAAGCACTAGTAATAAAGTTTTAGTTACCAATAAAAAAAGATACCAAAAAGGACCACTTCTCAAACCTCCATATCAAGCCTGGGGTATGTATAAGAGAAAACTATTTCTTCCACACATCTACGTAGTCCCTGTGCCTGAAACAGCATTTATGGATTAAGTCAGTTCATATTTAAAAGATCTAATTCAAGTATACCAAATCCAAGTTGAACTCCAAGTAAACAATGATATAACGATCAAATTAGATAACCCTAAAAGATTCATAATACAGATACATCTATGAATACACATGACTTGATTTACTAGTTAGCATGTGAGGTTGAGGGGCAAAGTGCTCCAAAGGCTAATTTCTAGGAAATGCAATGCTTCTAAAAAAAAGATGGGGAAAGGAGAAGTTTTTTACAACAAAAAAAACAGAAAAAGCAGAGGACTGAAGCCACATAACATTTCAAACACCCAGCAGTAGTTCCACAAGTGACACCCTCAATATATAATTGAATCTAGATGGCAAAAGCCATCCTGAGGCATCTTATTGCCAGAATTTTGGTGATATAAAATATAATTTATATTGGATACAATATAGACCTATCTATTTAGAAGACATAAGTTCATTGATCCTATCTATATGGCATCTTGTTCTTACATCTTATATCGACAAATAAAAACAAGAAATCGATCCTATGAAACCATAAAATATAATGTTTTCTCAAATGTAGGCATTTCTATTGAGTATATGCAATACCCAAGGTAAAACCCAGTTTTTTTCTCAAAATGTGTGTATATATATTGTGGACACCTTGAGCTTCCAATAAATTCTTTTGGCACAAATCAAGCATAAAGTGAGCGTGTGAGATCCAATAAATGGTATTACACGCATTATCCCATCGAAGTGTGTGGCTCATGTTTCTACCTTTCCCCGCTTCCCCCATCCTCCCCTTTGACTTTCTCTTGCTATCCTACCTCTCCGCTGCCCCCTCCCTCTCTTCGTCTTCTCACCGGAAAAGCCCTAGAACCATGGACTCTTCCTCTCTTGACTCAACCCTTTTTTGTGTCTGTTTCTTTCTCCATCTTTTCCACTCTTCTCTTGGCCCCACCCCTCTCCAAGTGATTGGAAACCCTAAGGCCATGTTTGGTTCAACTCTTATCCTTGCTCATTCTTTCCAATAATAAAATTCTAGAATGGGCAAAAATGGGTGGAAATGGACAGTTTTTGTGGTAAGAATGAGAATAAATTTTGAACCCATTTGGTTACAAATTCCATTTTCATTCATTTTTTTCATTAACCAAAATAAAAATATAGGTATACATACAATACACGTCAGCAAATATATAGTGGAAACATGCATAGACCCATACCAACAAAACACAAATCAACCATGTGGGCCCTGTATCAAAAACGCAAAATACAAAAAAGAAGGAAAGACAAGAAACTAGAAAAGCTTTTGCACTTGGTTGCATAGAGAAAATATAAAAGAAAATTTAAAGGAAGCAATTAGCACCTATTAAAAACTAATTAAAGGGAAATTAGTTTGCTGAAGAGTAGGCAGTTGTGCAAATGAAGAAAAGAGCTTGGAACTTCCAAATAGAAATGAAATTTAAAAATTGTAAACTAAAATAAAATTAACAAAAGTGAGCAGGTAGCAGTAGGTGAGGTACAAGAATTGCAATTCTGGGCTGATTCCAGGGTTTCAAAGTGGGCAAGTTCCCTTCAAAATATCTGGGAATGCCCTTGGGTGCCAAATGCAATGCTAAATCTATTTGGGAACCAATCATAGAGAGGATTGAGAAGAAGCTGGTTGGATGGAAAGTGAGGTACCTGTCAAACTCATTTTAGCTGAATTATTCCCAAATGATTCCAGCCTTCTTTTCAGCTACGTAGATGGAGAACAGGGGGTGCCTTGGATCCACATGGCCTACGCCACATGTACTAAATCCATTGCATGGACAAGTTATCTGTCCTGCATTTGGCTCTCTCATTGGCATCTATTATTCTATGTAGATATTTGAATCTATCCATTTCATTCATTTATTACTCTATATGGATATTCTCATACATGTTGCTATAAGAACCCTGCTTTTTCTTAGGAGTTCTAACTTAGGTTTCTTTTCCAAAGAAAGTGTCACCATGTTCCTTCATGTCTATGCCCAAGAGCTGAGGATTGGATAATAAGTTTTCTCCTATTTTTCTTACTTCCATCTGTTGAAAGTATTCAAAAAATTAATTTCCACGTTCATTGTATTCTAACAGGTTCATGTACTCTTTTCTTGGACTTATCATCCTCCTACTGTGAAGCATGTGCAGGATAAAGTGCTATTTTTCTTCATATTTTAATTCCAATTACAATTTCTTCTGTGGATTGAAATTGTGCGTGCTTCTGGCAATCACCTTGATAGTTTCATTTGGCTTTCTTTTTTTCTTTTTGTATTTTCCGTTTAACAATATAAAGAAGCTATAGATATGGAAGGATGAGGAAACACATAGAATTACAATTAACTTCCTAACTCTTAAGTATTGTCATTCTAATTTTGCTAAATTTTGTTTTTTTTTTATTTTAAATTTACTCTTTACTTGAGGTCCTTAGTTGTTTACTATTTTTACAGTGTGCTTTCCTATGCTTGGTTCTTTTTTTGTTCCTTATGTAACTTAAAAAATAATGATGATTTAAGCCATTGCAAGGTTAATGATTTTGCTAAGGGTAATCTAATTTCTATAATCCTCTAATACAGTTTTACATTACATGCCATAAGAAATACACTTGAATAAATAAGCGAGAGAGAGGGAGGAGAGCCAGAGGGGGGAGAGAAAGGATAGAAGGAAAGTGGGAGTGAGAGAAGAAGGGGGAGGAAAAGAGGAAGGGAGGGGGAGAGAGAGAGAGATGGGGGGGAGGAGGGGAAGAGGGAGGCAGGGAGGGACAGAGAGATTAAGGGGAGGAGGAAGGGTGGGAGAGAGAAGGGTCTCTATTTTTTTATAATTTTCTTTTATTTTCCCTCTTTGATTTGAAGTCCCTATTCATTTTGGGAAAATTTTTTTTTTTTTTTTTGCTTTTAAGTTATTCAATTTCTTCTTAGTTTGGGGAGATGATTAGTTTATCAACAGCCAGCTAATTCTTTCCTCTATTTATGTAGGTGTTCTTCTAAACTCTATTATAACTCCCAAATATAACAACTCAAGGTACAACTTCAACTTTTAATCTTTCCACTGTTGTTGAATTCTTTCCATTCATGATATTTTTGCAACTATTTAATCTTTATTTATTCTAACTCATAGACAGTTAATGTTTACATATCACCTCTTCAATCGATTTTGCAAATTCAGCATAGTAAGGCAGTTTAAACAAATATTTTAAAAACACCATCAACCTACTTTAATTCAAGTTCATTTAACAATCAATGTTTACTCTACACATCAGTTCTTCAATCAATTTTGCAAATTCAGCATACTAAGGAACTTATTAGCAAATACTTTTACTAATTGTTCCTACACAGATCCACCCTTGTGGTCATATATGTGCTTGATTCTGTATTTCTTTTTATTGACACACATGCATTGGTGCTCTTGGTCTTTTTCTAGACATGATACTAATGGATTTATTTGCTTTGGCTACTTACTGTTACATCCAGCTGGCCTAACTTGGTATTATTAAAGCATTTCACTACAACCTTGATAATGTCACAAACCAATTGCCCCTTGCACTAGGTTTGATGGTTCAGACTCCAACCTTTTTCCTCAACCCAGATTGTGATTTCTCAATCAAACAACCAAGTATAGAAGATTTTGACTTCAAACGTCTACATATTACCATATAATAATGTCAACATTTCCCTTCCCTTGTTAGGTAGATGGGATTATGCAGGATAGCAAGCAGATCAACTAATAGGACAGAAAGATAAATATAATGTGTTGCACCAGCAGCTTCATACCTTATGTTTTCCGGATTGCAATAGATGTTTAAGTTGCTCCCATCGAATAACATTAATGTCTTCTTTAGCAATGGAAGACCTTCGGCTTTCCATCCACTTGCCCCGAAGCTCAGAAGCAATAGCTGCAATTATTGTAGTTTTGTTACTTTAATTTAATGGAAGAAAATAGAAAATAAGATACTATTATGGATGAAGAAATAGATATGGTGCTTAAAGTAAAATAGCTTATTATCATACATTCATCAGGAATCGTTTCTAGGATCTTCTCAAACCTCTCTGCAGTTGCAAACAACTTTTGACCAGAAAGTATTTTCTCTTCAAAGAATGCCCTTAGGACTTCTGTATATGACCTTCTGCAGAAAGAAGATTGTTAAGGAAAAGACGAGGCTAGTTAAGATAACTAATTATAACAAATCAATACTTACGCAAGAAAAGGATGAAGAACAGGACCCATTAGAGATACTTTCTTCTGGCTATTGTCATTGCCCTACAACATAGAATAGCCCCAACAATTTCCATGAGACCACATACAAGGTACATGTCACCTCTAACCACTGATGCAATAATAGTATACCAACCTTGTATACTCGGAAATAGTCAGCAATTGCTGCCCTCTGTTCATTGGTCAACCTGGAGATTGCATGTAGGTACACATAAACCATTAAACTTTCTATAGGAGAAAATACAAAAGATGAAATCTAAATTTTCACATTTTAGCACCCATTACCTTCTTGCTCTCCCATCGCAAACCCAACAGTGAACACCACGCCGGCCACTATATACCCAAAGAATGTGATTGAAACCAAAGTCATCTGCATTGGAGATAATAACAAAATAAAGAGTTTGTTTAATTTTGATTGAATGTGAAAGCACAATATATTAGTCAAGCCCAGAACACCAATTTTATATTGAATAACATTCATAAAAGAAAATTGCACACAATAGACCTATGCCACTTAAACCCAGTCAATGTTTGCTGTTTGCATCAGTAATGTGTAGAGGTGTAACTTTAGGTGGGCCAAATTAAAACTGAACCCGACCTGATATATATATATATATATGGTTAGTTTTGGTTGGTTGAAAACTTCGTTAGGGTTAAGTTGCAAAGTGGCAACCCTATATAGAGTCAGTTGGATTAAAGATGGATGCCTTAGTCAACCCAACCCAAACTCAAACCCGATTACATTTGTATATGTTATGCATGTATGTAATTATGAATCAGGGTTAAGAACCATGGGTTGAAAAATCATGTTGGGTTAGGGTTAGGTTAGGTAGGTTGGGCTAGGTTTGACCACAACCCAAATCAACTCAACACCTAAGTTGCACCCCTAATTATGCAGTTACATATTATTGGATATCCCAATCTCAAACTTCGTTGTAGTTAGTTGTAATAAATCATGTACCACGTCATTTCATCTTACTTTCAGGTGAAATAGTAATGTTGCAAAACTTGACTGTGAGGGAGTCCTTTTTTCAGAATCCATGCTTTTCTACGGAATGTATGTAGGTCTCAGGCTTGGAATTCAAGCCACCCTACCCAATTCCCTTTTCCCCTCCCTCCAGAAATGGGATCCTCCTTTAGTTACTCACTGTTAGAAGTTATGAAACATTTGATATTATTATTTTTCTAGATCAGCAACACAAAAGATTTTGTTAATTAGAAAAATCAGGTTACAATTTAGAAAGCTAACCCAATCCAAATTTACATTTGAGCCCAAAACAGATGTGTTCTTTGTACCCCTTGCTTAGCTAAGCTATCTGCCAAACTGTTGGCAGTTCTCCTTACCCATCCCACTCGGATTGGCATGTCCTTTGATAGCCATTTAAATCTCCTGAGTTCACTCCTCAAATGCCATGTCATTCCCTCCCCCTTTTGCAGCAATTTTACCACAGTTTTCAAATCTCGCTCAATCCATTTATTGGGGGTGACCATGCTTCAACAGATTTCTGCCTAGTAGATGAAGATGTAGCAATAACACCCCAAGCCCTGAAAAAACCTTCAACCTTAAAGTCTGAAAACAGCTTCATGCATTTTGCATTTTGCCCAGTGTGCCACACTCAAAGTTATTGTTTCTACTTCTACCAAGGCTTTCTTGCTTCTTTCCCTTTCTTCAAATATTCTTACATTTTTTTCCTCCCAAACTGTCCAAAGTAGTTCTGCTCTAGTACATCTCTACAAAATCCTACCCCTCCTTTTAGTGCAGCTAATGCCATTAGGGCTAAACAAACCATCCAACATGTCAGGAGAAGACCACCTACAACCAAAGAGAGAAGCAAACCAATTCCAAATAAAGCTAGCAAAAGGGCAGGAGAGTAGAAGATGAAGGGAAACCTCACCATTCAACTTACATAGGACACACCAGTTAGGGGACAACACCAATTTGGTCTTTTTCTTTGGAGTAGATCACAGGTATTAATACAACCATGAAATACTTTCAACAGAAAGCATTGATATTAGGGGGAATGGGAGAGTACCGAATTTCCTTGACTGGGAAAGGAGAGGAAGAGGTGGATAGCTACCAAGGAATGTAAGGACTTACAAGAAAATAACCCATCAGAATTAGGGCCCCAAACCCTAGAATCCAAATCACCTTTTCCCAAGAAAACTAAATTCAGCAAGCCTAACAACTCAGACACACTAGGAAGTTTAAATTCTCTAAGGTTCCTATTAAAGCTAATTAAAGTTCATCCCTAAAGGATGATGGTGCTGACTTAGAAATTCAGAAATAGGCCTACCCTTGAACCTAGAAAGATCAAAAAGAGAAGGGAATCTCTCACCCAGAGGAGTATCCCCAATTCACACATACTTCCAAAATCTGATTTTCTGACCAGAAGCCAAGTCATACCTGATGTGATGTAGAAAGGTAGGAACAATTTCATGAATGGCCTTTTAGGGGCAGCCAAGGTAGCTACGGAGACATCCAACATCCCATCCATTGCTTGACATGCCAATGAATACTTGCAACAACCTTGTGCCATAATTTCTCATTTTCATTAGAAAACCTCCATAGCCATTTGCTAAGCAAAGCCCGATACAACTTAACATTACCAATTCCCAATCCCCCCCCCCTCTGCTTTCAACTTCACCACCTTTTCCCATCTAACCAAATGATCCTTCTTTTTTTTCCCCAGCTCCCAAAGAAAATCCCTCATGATTTTTTCAATTTTCCTCACTATCGCTTGTGGCATCCTAAACATTGACATGCAGTACACTGGAAGATTTGCTAGGGTAGACTTAATAAGAGATAATCCCACCCTCAAGATGTAGTTCCTTTTCCACCCAGCTAAGCACTTCTCAACCCTTTCCACCACTGGACACCAAAAACTAGCTAACCCGGGGTTATCACTTAGGGATAAACCTAATATTTCATAGGCCACTCTCCTTTCTCACAACTAGGAAATCTACCATAAACCTTAAGTCATCCTCTTCAGTGTTGGCATTCCAACCACTAAGCTCTCCAACCAAAATTAATCCTCAATTTAGACAATCTCTCAAAGATTTTCACCACCAACTTCAAGTTTTCCACCCCTTCACTACAGTCTCCATCACAAAAGATTAGAATGTCATTTGCAAACTGCAAGTGAGTGATCAAAATATTGTCTCTTCCTATTGACCAACCTCTAAACAGCTACAAGCTTGAAATCAATTTACTTAGCACTTCAACAACCAAAGTGAATAGAAAGGGAAGAGAGGGGGTCACCCTGTCTAAGCCCATGAAAGCCTTCAAAGAAATCATGCAATGTCCCATTAACAATGGCTGAGTAATGACTAGAATGTAAGCAACCCCTAATCCATTAAGAAGTTCCAACCCACCAAATCATAGGCTTTCTCCAAGTCCGATTTGATAGCTACTCCCTTCCTCTTTAATCTCTTTTGAGACTCCACACATTCATTACCAATTAGAATTAGACCAATAATCTACCTATCCTACACAAAGGCCCCTTGAGATTGCAAAATAAGTGGGGGGATTACTTTCTTAATCCTCAAAGACAGCACTTTTGCTATTACCTTAAATACTAGTGACTAGGCTAATAGGTCTAAAATCCCCTGGCCAGTTAGCATTGCTCTTCTTAGGGACTAGTGCTAAAAAGGTGGAATTCATCCCCAGACTGATAACCCCTCTTCTATAGAATTCACTAAGCACTCTTAGTAGATCACCTTTGATTATGTTCCAGCAGTCTTGATAAAAGGCCATTGTGAAACCATCAAGCCCCGGAGCTTTTGATTATTCATAGAAAAAACCGGCTCCTTGACCTCATCCTCCTTAAATCTTCTTTCCAAGAATTGCAGTTGAGCCTCCCCCAATGTCTCCCAATCAATGCCTTCAACCAACCACCTTTCATTTAGAGGTTTTCTTTAAATAAACCTGAAATGCTCAAAGAAAGCCTTAGCAATCTCACTCTGGTTTGTAATCACATTTTCTCCCACCATTAAAGAATTAACCAAGCTCTTTCTTCTCCTTCCATTTGCAATGGCATGAAAAAGTCTTGTATTACCATCACCTTCTTTGATCCACCTCTCTCTCTCGATTTTTGCTTCCAACTCATTTCCTCTCTCAAAAAGGTCTCCCCTAGCTCCTTCAGAGACCATCTCAAATTCATGTCACCCTCACCTAAAGAGCCCACTACTTTGTTATCAATTACCTCAATTTGGGATATCAAATCAGCTTTTTTCTCCTCTAGTCTTCCAAAATTATCCCTATTCCACTCTCTAAATTCCTTTTCACCGAATAAAGTTTCTTTAGGAATTTTGGCCTTCCCATATTGGTGATTGATCCAAGCTATTCCACCAAATCTTGACCGTCTCTTCAAAATCCGAGTGAGTGAGCCACATATTTTCAAATCTGAAAGGAATTAAGCCACCATCATTTGATTCTTTGAAACAAACAAATGGGCCAATGGTTTAAGGTGATTCTAGGTGGAGTTCTCCAAGCTAGACTTCGCCAATGCTCTTCCCAGTCTAGTGAAACTAAATACCTGTCAAGCTTGGAAAGAATGGGGTTTGCTTGGAGGTTTGACTAGGTATAGCAGGATTGCCCCAGTTGAAGGCCTTTCAACTCAAAGGCCACAATAAATGAATTAAACTTCCTTATGCTTGATGCAATCCTTTGTCTACCCCTAGTTGACTCACTCACAAATCTAACAACATTGAAGTCTCCCCTAAACACTAAGGCCCTTCCCAAAGACCCCTAATGTCCCCAAACTCCTCCCACATCTTATTCCTTTCTCTATAAGAGTTTGGCCCATAGACATTCATGAGAACCCATTCAAAGCCATCCTGTAGGTTCTTTAATTTAATAAACACTGAGAACTTGCACGCTAATTCTTCCAAACACTGAATTGCCTCTTCTTTCTTAATTGTTATTATGCCCCCCCCCACTAATTCCTCTCTCCCCAAATACTTCTTATCCATTTCCTATCAACTTCTTGAATTTTGGATTCTTGGATCATAACAAAATCCGATCACTCCTTCCTCAAGATCTCTTAAACTACTATTCTTTTTGCGGCACTCCCTAACCCCCTTATATTCTAACTAATAATCTTCATGATCACAACAAAGACTAAACCCAATCCCCCACATTCTATAGGCCCCCCTTCCTTCTTCCTCCTCTAGCATTTAACTCCTTATCCCCTTCCACATCATTAACAATTTTTCTCAACTTCGTTTAGCTTCTTTCTCCTCTTACCTACCTTTTCTTTGATCACTTTGCTTTGAGGTTTCCCTTCCTTAACTTTGTCCATCTTCAAGCCCATTTTGTCAACCAAGTCCATCACCGAGTCCCTTACACTCCATGCTTCTCCACTTCTTTTACTCCTTTTTGACCCATTATTTCCTTCTTTCTCCTTAACTAGTTCCTTCCCCAACTCATCCCCTCTTGATCTCTCTCCTAGGACTGATTCCCTTTTGCGATCCCTTTTTTCCCATCCATACCCAACCCCATACTAGGAAGGACAACTTCTTTGGTTTCCTACAACCTTTCACCCTAGCCTCAAAAGCAACCAACCCTCCTTTCTTGTCTCCAACTATTTCTTTTCCATAAACTCCTTCTGTTAGACCCCTACCCATCTCCTTTTTTATAAGCACTTCCAAAGGCACATCAGAGCCATGGATGGGAGATGAAAGTTTTGTAGAACCAGTAAAGCAAGGATTAGAATCAAAAACAAAACCAACAGTGTTAGAGAAGTTACCAGAGTTTGACCGAGGGGAAGACACGACAGGAGTTGCAGTAACAATTCCTTCAAAACCCTATATCACCTCTAACAGCTTGGGAAGGCTTCAAATTTGTTTTTTTTTTTTTGTAGAACTTCAAATTTGTATCAGACTTCACCAATTCTGGTTTTGTACCCTCAACCAGAATCTCCTCTACAATTTCCCGGTTCCCCCATCAAATCAACAACTGATCATTCTATCCTTGTAACTCGCATGGACTGGTGTCCTTATCCCTTTGGAGTCTCTATTCCCCTCTAACTTTTAGAATGGTCCTTTAGGCCGCTCTCTGAGATTAACTACACTTCCCAACCTTTGTCTTTGGTGGAGTGGGATTGGCCCTCACTTTGTAAGCCCATTTTGATGTCATCAGCCTTTCCTCCCTCAAAGAGAGAAACAACGTGAAAGTCATCATCACTCTCCAAGCAAACTTGAACCGTGCCTTCTCGTCCAAGTCTTCACAGTCAACCCATTGTTCATCATCCCTCCATTCTGCCTTAGCCCTATCGTAGCAATGATTAGGCCTATCTCACTTCACCCATTGCAACCAGGAAAAACCACCCCTATTCGACTATCAGAGGTCAATGGTAATGATGATAGATCATCTTTACCATCCCCCATTGCCTCACAATAGCTCCTACACGTGCCTCTTAAGTCATCACGTGGTGGGTTCTTTGAAGTTGAGTCAAATTGATGATTTGAGACGGTTCAACCAATGTCCCATCCTTCTTTGTTCCTTTTTTTTACCCACGTAGGAGAAACCATCCCTTGACTCGACCAACCTATTAAAACTAAAATATTTTGAAAATCCCAATTTTAAAGGCAAAATGGAGCCAAACGAGATATTGTTCAATGGTCCACCTTCCAAAAATAGGGCCAACATTGGGCTTGAAGTTTTCTACTTCCATTAGGCCACTCGACTTGGCATCCATCTGGACACATCACCATCATCCTCTTCCTCTCTACTTTTCTCCCACAACAACAATTCAACTTCCAGTGCTAAGTTTAACTAGACTCTCCGCTATCACCCTTCAGAAAAGAGCTCAATTGATCTTGGAATCTGATCTGGTTTGGAGTAGTTCACTTTGATTTTGGCTGCTTGAAGAGAGAAAGTATTCACCACTACCCGGGATCCCACGTAGAGTACCGCCACTTGGGAGAAGACCTACTTCCACAGGTTGAACGGATGCCCTACCAGCTCGATTTGCAGAACCTCTTCCTTTAAATTTGTTAATTACCATTATGGGAAATCTGTTTACAGCAATGTAATTTATCTGTTTGATCTTTCAATTTTATTTTTCCTTATGAAATATGATCCATGCACTTACGTTCAGTTTCAGTTAGTGTATATAAAACTGTCAGAAATTTTCACATATGTGGGTTTTTTCACTCTCAATTTGACCAAACCTGGCCCAAGTTGCACCTCTTCAAGGCTCTTAATGCACAAGGGGAAGACCTCAAAAATTACGAATGGATGTGGCCTAGATAGAAATATGATGATAGCAAATTGTGTCAATATGTGGAATAATAAATCACCTAAAGGACCTAATGAATGAGGTTCCATCACATCACCCAAAGTTTCTTTACATGTAGCAATAATTATTTTTTTATACGTAACTAAAAAATCTCTCATTATTCCTATCTTTATCTTCATTACCTCAGCTGGTTTATTTAAAAGACTTTCAGAGCAGGATATGAATGTCATTACCTACCTCTAAGTGCAATATCAATCACTTTAATAGCAGCAGTCATCAACGGCCAGCAGTCCAAGCAAACATCAGCTCCTGAGCAACAATATCGAACATCATCATAGTCCGTCATATCCTGCAGAAGGACATGCATTTGGACATGTTAAGCAGAAAGTGCAATCAGGATTGCAATTTTAAGCATGTTGTAATTGTTCAGTTGGGGTAAAAGTTGATTAGCTTACAATATCAAAAACAAGCTCCCTCTCCACTGGAGTAAAAACATTATCACCAGATTGTGCATAGGCATGCCTCTTAGCAGGCTGTAGATCATACAATAGAAGAAATGAGCTATGGTACTAGTATTATAAAATACATCCTCACATATTCTAATAGAAACAGAAGTCCATGTGCTGAGATGGATGAGCGATAAAACTAGAAAGGATAGACTCAGAAATGAAGTCATTTGAAAGAACCTAGGAGTAGCTCCAATAGGTGATCAAATGAGAGAAAGTAAGGTGGTCTGGTCACATGCATAGAAGACCACCAACAGCACCCGTAAGAAGTTTTTTTTTGAAGATAAATAAAAAAGAAAATTTTATAACTACAAAAAAAGAAACAAAAGATCTAAATGACATGGCGTCACCACTTCAGTACAGTTTTACAAGAATAACAAAACAACATTTTCAAACAAATTACATCAAAGAATTCACAGTTCTCCAGAAATTTGAACCGAAGTCTTCTCTACTAAATTCAAATTCCGGAAAAATCAGCACCGAATCCATTAAGGGACTAGAAGGGCTAAGGATAGAAAAAAGGACTTGAGTTGAAGTAGATAAAAATGATTTAAGTGCTCATAACTTATTAATGGATATGGCATTAAACAGAACGGAATGGTGAAACAGGATCAATGTTGCCAAACCCATGATGGTGATGATATTCTAAAAAAAACAGACTTGTCTCAATCAAGAATTTGTGGCTGGGAGAATCAAGCCCAGTCATCAGTTCAAAGCTTCCTTAAAACAGCAGAAAAAAGAGTACGCAAATCATACATCTACACTGTACACTGGCCCGATATCAATTTTAACAGGGCATTTCTCTTTGATGGAATTTTCCAATTCAGTTGCATTATTGAAAGACTGGAACCGCAGATATATATCATTATCCAGAGTGAACGAAAACTCCCTTCGGCCAAAGTAGGAGTGGTCACAAGCTGGATGCTTTCCATCTGAAGCAGAAAAAGACATAGTCAAACAAGAACAGAAACACAGTATAAAAGAAACCACAGAAGAAAACAATGACATGAGCACATTAATCAAGAGAAGTTAACTACCATTTCCATACGACATCCATTTGAACATCTCAGCATGTGGAAACAGCTTTCCTGTCACAAATAGCACATTCTACTAAGTAGACAAAATAAGCAACCAAGTGCATGGGCAAAGAAAACAAGGACAAGAGTAGCACTAGGTGGCAGTGATAAACCATTACCATAATAAGCTTTAAGATAATTGGCATTAAATTCTTCATATACAGCATTTGCTTGTCTAGGCTCATGTCCATCAATTTGCATATTATCTCTTCCATTTTCTCCTTTGGCCATTTCCAAACTCAGCACTACCCAGTCAGTGAATTTAAATTCAGATTCAAGATAATATCATGCAAGCGAAACAGTAAACAACATTCTGAAAACAAACTAGATATAAGCCCCAAAAAATTTCACTGAACAAAGAAGAAATTTCACTGCCTTCAAAATTCCAGTGGCATTGATTCTTCTAACCTTAGCACCAAAAAAATTAAAAAAAAAAAAAAAGAAAGAAAACAAAAAAGATTTCAACTCCAAATTTTCTTTCTAAATCTTGTAGACTAGGCTTTCTTGTAGCAGAGACAATGAAGTGCAAAGACAATTCAATCAATTCCAGGCATTATTTATGATGGACAATGTCAAGAGGTAAATTATTAATATATTTTCATTCCAAGTGCTACAAAACAACAGTCAGAAAAAGAAAAGAAAAGATAAAAAGATTTGATAATATTAAAAACCGCAAAGCAAGCAGATGGCTCTCATGAGGTGAGATTCATAAATTGAGAAACCCTAGAAACAGCAAAAACCAGTAGAGAATGTCCAATTGGGAAGTCGGATTCTATGAACCACATGTACAAGCAAAACTACAAAAGTAAATGAAGAAAAATACCAAACAATTGCAGAAGTTTTGCAAAAAAAAAATTGCAGAAATTGTAGAAAATACAGAAAAAATGCATGAAAATGTAGAAATTACAGAAATTTTGTAGCAAATGCAATAAAATTCAGATATTACAATTGCAAAAAATGCAGAAATATTGCAGAAAATGCACGAAAATACCAGAAAATTCAAGGAAATGCAGAAATTACAGAAACTTTGCAGAAAATAAAGAAAAGGGCAGAAAATGAAGAAAAAGGCAGAAATTTGCAGAAAATACATGAAAATACCATGATATTGCAGAAAATGCATGAAAACACCAAAAAATGCAAAAAAAATGCAGACATTTTGCAAAAAAGGCAAAAATATTCCAGAAAATGAAGAAAAAACAGAAACATTGCAGAAAACGAAGCAAAAGGCAGAAATTTGCAGAAAATGCATGAAATTACCATAAATTTTGCAAAAAAAATGCTGAAAATGCAGAAATTTCGGAAAAGAGGCAGAAAATAGCAGAAATTGCATAAATGCATGAAAATGTCAGAAAATTTGCAGAAAATGCTGAAATTTTGCAAAAAGCGCAGAAATTTGCAGAGTGCATGAAAATACCAGAAAATTGCAGAAATGCATAAATTTTGCAAGAAAATGCTGGAAATGCGTGAAAATGCAGAAATTACAGAAATTTTGCATAAGAATACAGAAATTTGCAGAAAATGCATGAAAATACCAGAAAATTGCAAAAAAACATGGAGACTATGACTAATTGGAGACTGGACTAACAATCAAAAAAAGATAAAAAAGAATTGGAGGTGCGCCCTTTTCTTGTTGGACTGTTGACAGTTTTGCTTCCATAGATACTTCTTTGAACAATTTGTTTCTTTGTGTTAACTTCCGTCTTACATCTATCAAGTGAACTTTGTTGGAAGTTCCCAAGTTATTGACATTTTTTCTTTGTTACAGGCTACTTTTAGTATATCCTTTATCCTTTTGTGCAAGACGGTTGGACTTGATTTTGTTATGGATTTGAGAGCTTCCTGAATAGAACCAATGAGCAACATGTTCTTTAGATAGTGCATGTTGAAAAGTATTAACTTTTATCTTAATTGTTCATCTTAATAAGTAGATTTAATTATTTTTGCCCTTATACTCTCCACCAGCTATTACTATGATTCTCAAGACACCATTGCAGCAAGGGAGAGTTATCCATATGTGTGTAAATGTGTATTATTTGATTGATCACATTTTGAATACTCTAATGGCTTGTTGGACTTTAGTTCCTGGGGCTTAATGGTAACTTTTTCTCCACCATGTAACTAAGTCTATTCTGCAATATGTTTCATGGTAGGTGGGCATATATGGTTACACAGCTTATTCTCCTAGAAAATTTGGTCTTTGTGGGCTAGGAGAGGCATTGCAGACAGCATTAATGCATCACTTATATTCCCTCAAAATACTGAAACTCCGGGCTTTTTGGAAGGTCTGAAATCTTGCTTTGAACCCAGTGTCCTAGTGTTCTTAAAGAAACTAAAAATCCTTCTCTTCTTAAAGATCTTTTTGGGTTCAACGCATATCTTGAATGCAAGAGTTCACATTTGTGAAAAACTATTTAGATATATATTGTGTGAAAGTTACAACACTTGTCTAGTAGATGAAGAGTGAACTCTTGATTAAAATGCCAAAAAAAACTAATAAACTCAAAACTAAGACCTACATTTCAGCCTTTCAGGATCATACCATAGATTCTCTAAGCTCTGAAAACCGGCCTTGTGTATTTAGCATTTAATATTGGGTCAAATTGGGTTCATCCCTACATAACCTACCTTGTTTTGTACATTATATAATATAAAATATTACATATAGCATAGAATAACATATATACATATATACATGTATACATTTATACTTTATGTATAAAATACATATATTTAAATATATGTGGGCCAGGCTTGAAGTATTAGGCCCAAGGTCCGGCTCTGACATTTGTGGGACAAGCCTGAACAGAACTCTTGACAGTGTGGCCGGCCAGAAATAAGAGGAAGAGAAGAGAAGGGAAGAGAAGAAGAAGAGAGAAGGGAGAAGAGAAGAGAAGAGAAGGGATTGGCAATGTAATAGTGCTAGCGGCGCCGGCTTTTATTATAATATATATAGGGCAGCAGAAATAACAAGGGAAAAGACCCTTGTGCCCCTGCTATAAGTGAGTACAATAACAGACGTAACAGAAGTAAAAAAATAGAAATAAAAAACACTTTAACTAGCCAAACAGACCCTAACACCAAYAACTAAATTATTTCAACACTCCCCCTCAAGTTGGAGCATAGATGTCAATCATGCCCAACTTGTCACACAAATCTTTGTGCCGCACATGATGAAGACCTTTGGTGAAAATATCTGCAAGTTGTTCTTCTGAGCTGACATATGGAGCAAACACTTCTCCACTTACAATTTTCTCTCTAATAAAATGTTTGTCCACTTCAATGTGTTTCGTCCTATCATGCATGACTGGATTAGCAGCAATATTGATGGCAGCTTTATTGTCACAGTAGAGTGACATAGGATTGCTCACTGCAAAACCCAGTTCACCTAACAGATTTCTTATCCACATGATTTCAGCAACCCCATGAGACATCGCTCTATACTCTGCTTCAGCACTAGATCTAGCCACCACACTTTGTTTTTTACTTCYCCATATGACCAGGTTTCCTCCTACAAAGGCACAATACCCACTGGTAGACTTTCGGTCATTGACTGCTCCTGCCCAATCTACATCAGTATATACTTCCACCTTTAAGTGACCATGTTTCTGGCACAACAAACCAGCTCCGAGAAACTTCTTGAGGTATCTTGGGATCCTCTCTGCAGCTTCAAAGTGAGTTGTCCTAGGATTGTGCATGAACTGACTAAGGACACCCACTACATAAGCAATATCAGGCCTAGTCTTAGACATACAAAAGTCTCACTACGAGTCTTTGGAATTTCTTCACATCTTTCAGAAACTCTCCCTAACTGTCTCCCAGATGATGATTAGATTCAATTGGTGAGTCAATTGGTTTTACCCCTAACTTGCCTGTATTTTCTAGTAGATCTAGTACATATTTCTGTTGGGAAATAAAGATGCCCTTGTGAGAGC